AATTATACAGTCATCAAAACAAACAAAAACAAAACAAAACACTTTGGTGTCCTCTGGAAACCTTGAAGAAAACTTCTGAGAGGGAAGAGAAGCCAGACTACAAAGGGACAATCTTAGTCAACAGAAAAAAGCTGGAACAGGCTATTCTCTTTAAAAGTCTCAAGCGAGGCGTGATATTTTGTGGATTCCCAGCACTCAGGAGGCTGAGGCAGGAAGACCAACTGAGCTCCATGACTTCAAAATTAGCCTGGGTAACAGGCTTGTCTCAGGGGGAAAAAAACAAAACAAAAACAAAAACCAAGACCTCAATAAACCGGAAATGTGGACTTCCAGATGAGGTATTTTAATACCAGAGTCCTCCCTTATCAGTCTTTCCCTATTTCAGTTACCCATGATGAAAAGTCCCAAGCCGGTTATCACCAGAAGGTTGATTCCAAGCACTGCAAGACTACTAAAAAAACAAACAAACGAACAAAAAAAAACCACCCTGGTTTTGGAATGGCTCCACCAGATACTACTGTATGTCTTAGGGCAAATGGCTTTAACAAAATAATGGACCCTCTAACTCCTTTACAACACAAAGATCAAACAAGGTACTTATATGTCAAAGCACTGAGAAGCAGGCTATATTAGAAATACATACCACCCCCACCAAAACAAGGTCTCACACTGTAGTCCAGGCTGGCCTGGAACTCACTATATAGCCCAGGCTAGTCTCAAATGGTGGTGATCCTCCTACTTCACCCTCCCAAGTGCTAAGATTACAGGAGTGAGTCACCTACCTGGCTCAGAACATGCTTTAAACTGGACAAACCTTGTTCAAGTTCTCACCCTATTTACAAAACCTGTGACCTCAGACAAACTACTTCACCTTTCTGTGCCCGGTTTAATTAACCCCAAGCCACTGGGTTACTGTGAGAATTAAATGAAATAACCCAACCTTAAATCCTGTCTGGAACAAGATGAGAAGTAACTTTACAAATAGCACTGACATAATTATATAAAAAACCAGTTGCCTAGCATGCACTAAGCCCTGGGTTTGATCCCCAGCACTGCATAAACCAGTCATTGTGATGCGAGCCTCTAATCTCAGCACTCAGGTGTCAGGAAGATTAGAAGTTCGAGGTCATCTTCAGCTACATAGCAAGCATGGGTTACATGAGCCCTGGTCTCAGAAAAAAAAAAAAAAGTCTCTTTGAACTTTTAAGATGCGATATAATTATAGGGGCTGGAAAGATGGCTCAGCAGGTAAGAAAGAGCATTGGCTGTTCTTGAAGAAGACCTGGGCTTGAATTCCAGCACCCACATGGCAGCTAAAAACAGTAACTCCAGTTCCAGGGGATCCAACGCCCTCTTCTGTCCTTTGAGGGCATTACATGACAGGTACACTTACACACATGCAGGCACAATACTCATACACATAAAATAAAAATAAATCAAGGGGGCTGGAGAGATGGCTCAGTGGATAAGAACACTGACTGTTCTTGCAGAAGACCCAGGTTGGAATCCCAGCACCCACATGGCAGCCAACAACTGTCCGTAACTCCAGTTCCAGGGGATCTGACAGTCTCTTCTGTCCTCCACAGACATTGCAGGACACAGGTACACTTACGTACATGCAGGCAATACATGCAGACACATAAAATAAAAATAATATCCCCAGATGATGGCTCTGTTTTGGGAGGTTTTAGAAGGTGTGGCTATCCTAGAGGAAGCATGTCACTGGGGGTGG